TTGAAAACTATATACTTAAATAAATTAATATGAAAAACACATTTCGATTTTTTCATATACTCATTTACCTGAAGGCCTAGAACAAATGAAAGCTCTTTCATATGACCGTCTCGTTTTACAAAATGTTCTATCGAATACCTGAACAAATTGCTAACAAAAACAACTTACAATTCCATACCTTTCTTATATGGCCTTTTAGCACTTATTCAGCTTGAGCGAGGGTTGCTGAACAAAGCGCTGAATACCCAAGCAGCTGGTAAGCTTTAACTTATCAACTCTTGTCAAGCATCAAATTAAAACACTCCATGAATACACTCAACTAATTCATCGCTTTTACTCTGCTGTCTTCTTTAATTAATTTAATTATAGATAGTATTAAACAAAAGTAAATATACTGAATAAATTATATGAAAATTAAAGGCTGACAGCAGTTCAATAAACAAATACAACAGTTAAATATATGTATATTTTAACAATAAATAATTTTTACAACCGACTAATGACTAGAATATATTATAGCGAAACATTTGCAATAAAGAAAATACATGGCTAATTAAAATTTTTAGTGGTTACTGGGGAGACATTACTTTGATGAGGATGCCACAGTGTTACTTTTTGCACCTTTTTCGAAATAAATAAAATATGTTTTTAATTTGAGTAGGTTTTTTTTTTTTTAGCAATATAAAGCTTAGAAGAAAGAGTTACTGATATATTAATTTCGCTATAAATTTACTAGAAACTGATATTATTTGGAGTAAACTGGGCATTACAATCGCCGTGGTATTCGGCAAGTCAAGGTGAAGCTATTAGAAATTATGTAAAATAATGTATTATATGTTGAAAATTTAGTTCGAAGATATGGAATTGAAAGAGTTCATATATGGAGGTTCTTTACTATAATCTTAATGTCCAAACCTCGATAGTCGAGTTCTACGTACGATAGGAAAATTTTCGAATGTGGGTCCGACCAAGTGTTGCTAGCTTAAAAATTCCACATAACAGTTTCACAAATGTGTAAAACTTTACAACAACAACAGCACAGCAATTTTAGATCATGCCATCTAAACTCTTGAAAGTACTAATTTATTTCAATGTGAGAAAAATTTTAGAAAATCAGTTTACACCCACAGAGATAAGCGATGCCACTATATAAAATGTAAAGTTAGTATTTCTCTTTTACCATCCATCATTATGAACAGAAAATTTGAGGGCAATAAGATTTTAAAATACTTTCAACATCATCATCATTAAAAAGCTTTACTTTTTTAGAAGCTTTCTAAGCCCTTCATTAAATTTCTACAAGTATTTTCTGTTTTCATAATTAATAGATTACACATGGCTTGGAAAATATTCTTAGAAATCGAAACGAGGATCTATTTGAATATGATTCTTATTTTGAAGAAAAGTAAGTAAGGTTAAGGTGTTTTTTAAGATTTTTATTTCTGGAATCAATTAATTAATAAAGCTTAATTCGTACTCTAAAGGAATACTTCGAGTAAAGTGAAGGGGTTATATCCAGTTGCAAATCAGAAAAAAGGCGTTTTTATGAAAAAGATGTGTGGTAATGAGGAAGATTTTCTGATTAAAACTATCTCGAAGCCAAAAACCAATAAACTATATTATTATTATATAAAAATGCAAGCAATGATCGTAATACAGGTACAAATTTTGATTATCGACAAAATGACGGCTACTCAAAGAAAAAATACGCTTTTAGTAAGCCTTTTTGGCTTAAAAAATCGAAATCTTTATCAAAAATATTATTCCTTCAATCATAACATGATGCATTCTGACAAATCTTTCAAGTCGAACGATCTAGCTTTTTTGGGAAAATTTCCTCATCGTCTCTGGAAACAGCGTTTCAAGAAAAAGGCGTCTAAAATTTTGGGAGACGATTACATTAAATCCAAAAGTTCTCACAAATACGATCCAATCTCCGATACTATTTGCTGGATCAACTTCAAATTTTCGTAGAATATTTTCAAGTATATATAATGTGTCTAACAAAAAGAACGACTTGGATAATTTCCAAGCGTTGTACCAAAAAGAAAAGTGGCATGATGAAATGGCAAACCTTATTAAAAACACTGAGAAAATTTTGACAAAATGCGTAAACAAACATGGCCGCCACGTGCTGTCAAAATCACTATTGATCTAATCTATACATTGAAAATAAAGCTAAGCTCAGAATTGTGTGAATGGTATACAAATTTTAATTAACGAGCTCATGGAAAATTTCTTGTGTTGTCTATGACTCATTACCTCGTTGTAATTATAGCTTTTTGAATATTGTATATTTCGCATTGCAATAAGTCGTAGTTAAATGTAATTAGTAACGAAAATTAACGAAACAAAAAACCATATAAATATGCAACTAACTAATTGGTTGTCTAACTGTCTCAATGAAAGCTCAACCTGAGCTATTGTTGCAATTTGCTATTTAGTACAATTATTTTAACGCTATTTTCTCGTTTTGTTTGTTATTGTTATTGTGTTGCGGTAACGGCAGCTATGAAAAGTTAATTTCTTTTCAAAGTTATTTACAGTAAACCTGTTCTCAGCAGATTTCTACTTACTGCCTTAAATGCAATTGTAACCTGTTCACCTACTAAAGGGAATTCACACATTTCGAAATACATAATCCCACACTTGCACTTAACTAAGTACCGCAGCTTGTAGCGACTTGTCTAGCTAACTCGTGCCGAATTCCCTAGTAAGGCCTTAATTCAAATGAAGTGCGCTAATCGGGAGTCAATAATTACACGCTGACAGGGAATTCATTTGAGATCGACGACCAAAGCCGTCGACTGAATTTCCAAGTGTGTAGTCGAATGCTAATTTATAGCGGTTATAATTTTAATTTGCATACTTTATAGTTAACTCGTTAAATTTTCGTTGGGTGTAGAAAACAAGGGCTACATTTAACTAAATTTACATAAAGTGAGATGTCGCTGGTGTTCGCGGGCCGACACTGGGAAAAGAGCGATTCGTCTAAGGTAAATTGCGAATGATTTCAAATGAATAAATTATAATTATGGCGCAGTGCGGTGGGGTGGAGGCGTTTATTTGTTTAATTTGTTTTCATTTATTGGTAATTTTTGAAATAGACCGGCACTATATAAGCGGCTAGTGATGATTTACCGAAGCAGTTCAAGTTCAGCGTTTGCTAAGCAGAGTTTTCAGTTGCGAAAAATTAAAACAAAATCCAGTTAAAAATGGCCAAGTGCAGTCTAATGTTCTTCGTTTTGGTAGTCTCTGTTTTGCAGGTAATGCGAACTTATGTGGAAATTAAGGAAGAAAGAGGCAAAAATAATTAAAGGAAATCGTGATAATGGATAAAATATTACTAGCTATCTTTTAAGTAGAAATTTTAAGTGAAGCAAAACAACAAACAAACAAAACGGTACATCAAAGAAATATATTTCTTCGATTAATTTGCTTGTATTCCGAACAGGGTAGCCATAGAAGAACTAAACATGCTCGTGTGTCTGTCTGCATATACGCGTTACTCAATAAGTTTTCAGATATCGATCTGAAATTCTGTACACGTTCTAAATATATATTTTAACGAAATTTACTTATATATGTCCATACTAATGACAGAACCAAACCATATTTTCTCTCTGATTGGTCACTGCTTGCAGAGGTGACAGGACACACCATAGGGTGCACCAGTCGTCGGAGAAACTCCTCGCAACATAGCGCTCACTCATCCGGGAAAATAAGCTCAAAAGTGCAGCTCATCTTCGGAGAAGAAGGCGGAGCCACATGCAGGACATTAAACCGTCTAATATCGATAAACCTTGTAAACTGGCGTAATTGGTGGATTCATGATTAAATGTAAATGAAAATTTAAATAAATAGAGCAACCTATAAAACAACTGTTTTCTTTTAAGAAAATTTATTAAGTGTTAGGGGAGTTAGGTTCATTTCAAGCAGATATAAAAAAAATATAAACATACAAAATTCCATCAAGGCATCACACAAAGCTTCACTTGGACTCTATAAGACGTTCCAAATATAGTTATTAAAAATTTTGAACTTTATCTGGACTATGCAGACTTGTAGAAACGATTTGTTGTTTGGTTTGTAACACACTTTGTCAATAAATAACGCATTCTGAACCTGAACCTAATCTGAGTCTACTTAGCGGGAATCTGAAAATATTGCTTAAATTACCAATGAAAACGTCGTAGATACCTAAACAGGAATATATATATATAAAGTACAATTTGTCGACTTCTCATGTCATTTGAATAGTGTTGGCTAACTCGTTGGATTCACAACTTCAGTCGATCCGCCGCGCGCCGCCGCGCGCAGTTTTTCCGCCGCCACCGTTTTTCCGCCAGCGCACCATCCACCGCCGTTTTCCGCCGTTTTGGCGCGCCGCGCAGCCGCTCGCGCA